ATGATAACAATTATTGATGATATTATCCTTATCATTATCTTTATTATTCTTATTATTATCGAATTATTATTATCATCATCATCATCGTTACCATTATCATTATTATCATTACTATTATCATTACTATTATTATTATTATATATTATTATTATTATTATATATTATTATTATTATTATTATTATTATTATTATTATCATAAATATTATCATTATTTCATTATTATTATTATTATTACTAATATTATTATTATTATCATTATTATTATTACTATTAGTATTACTAGTATTATCATTATTATTATTATTATTATTATTATCATTATTATCATTATTATTATTATTATTACTATCATTAGTATTATTATGATTATGATTACTATCATAGTTATTGTTATTATCATTATTACCCTTACTATAATCATTATTATATCATTATCATTATTATTATCATTCATTATCACTATTGTTGTTATCAATGTAATTATTAATTTTCAGAGATATTTATGTTGATAGTATTCATGTTGAAATTCTGATGACAATGAAGATGATGATAATATTGACAGTAATGATATGATATCAACAAAAGCAACAGTGATGATATAGTTTTAACAACAGAAATTATAACGATGAAATATTAACAACAACAGAAATGATAACGATAAGATATCAACAACAACAGAAATAATAAAGATAAAATATTAACAGAAAATATTCTTACAACGATGACAGCAATCGTAGCACAAACTGATGGCAATTGTAATGGTAATAGTGTGATTACTGCTGCCAATTAGATTAGCAATATCAATATCATTATAAGCTTTAGTTATGGTGGTAACAGTAGTACTGCTTTTACTCCATAATTATCCTCATAAGAGCTCTATTAACATCCTCATTACCATTGCCATAATCATTATTAGTGGTATATATTAATAGTAATACCACTATTACTATTCCTGTTATTATAAAATTATAATTATCGTTATTATCACCATCATTACTGCTATTACTACTGCTTTTACTATTGCCAGTAAAATCAGAATAAAGATTACACCCACTGCTGCCGGGTGACCAGTGTCTTCTGTTGCTCAGCCACCGAAAGGCCAATTACTAGGCCTATATGACCTCACCTGATTACCCCTTTCCAATTATTTAGGGAAAAGATGTTTTTTTTAATGTTATGAACATCGATGTTGTTATTGTTGCTGACATGATGAATAAAACAATGTTATTAACAATACTAATAAAAATAAGTAATTCCGAAAATAAAGGAAGAGTTGAATAAATAAGATGGGTAAGACTAATAATTGGCTCCTTAATCATTAAGCACATGGGTGTAAAAATAATTAATAAAAAAAAAGCACAGTGGACATGGGTTGTATTCCCGGCACCAATAGGTTAAGATTAAAATCAAAAATAAAATTTGAATCATTGCCCAATATGGCAGCAGCTGTTTCTCACGAGAATTCCTTAACGACGGTCTGTGTTGCTTGTGACCTCACTCTCGCTGCCTAATCTAACATGATTACAGTGAATTTTTAGAAAGGCATTCGCTTCAGTTCATAGATATTGTTATTACTACCTATCAGTAACTCGATGTGCATGAAATCATTGGTAATAGTTGCTCACTCCCTTTCCCTTGAAGTTTCAAACGACTAAAGAATAGAGAAATTAGAATACCAGGCAAGGGTCTCTCCACTTCCCTTTTAACTTCCACAACTTCCTCGAGTTTCTAATCTCCATCTTCCCCTCTCTCCTACCGTACCCCATTACTACGTTTATTAGTCAAAATATGTCATTATTGGGAAATTATACACTTCTTGGCGTATGATTATGATTGCCTTACTTCTACAATAATAACGATTGCAATGATGGCAATTATGATCATAACAATATCGATGATAATGATGATCATAATGAAATCAATATTGCCAATAATAACAATAATGATAACAATACTATTCATTGTGATAATGATGATAGTATCATCATTCTATATGATAATACAAATAAGATTAAGAATAATAACAATCATAAATGTAACATCAACAATAATAACAATAATCAAAACAATAATGGATATAATTGCGGAAATTATTATCACATTAATGTTGCTGAGTTTGTTGATAAGTGGTGCAGTTTGCATTCTGTGATAGAATCCGTTTGCTTGAAGCTATCTGCCGTTTTGTCTGCGGCGTCGTGACCTATGCGCATGCGCAAGGGAAAGAGGGCCTTGGGGATATCGACAAAACTCTTTTCTTTTTTTCTTTTTTGCCTCTAAATGCAACTCTGTAAAAGCAAACACTTCAAATAGTTTTAACGTCAAATCAAATAAGATTCGAAAGTTTTAATTGGATTGAGTTTAATAATCAAATTACAGTTTAAGGCAACTCTTCCATATACATTCTTCTGGCAACAAGCGGTTTTATGTATGAATCAAAGACGTACATAGTCTTTGGTATGAATGCATGACGCCACAGATTTCGTTTCCTTTTCTTTTTTCTTGGAAGTTGTTTGTACATGCACATGAGCATGCATATACACGTAGATACACAGACGTAAACACGAACACGTGCATATTTATGCATATGTATATATATATATATATATATATATATATATATATATATATATATATATATATACATATATATGCGCAATATACATATACATACACACACACACACACACACACACACACACACACACACACACACACACACACACACACACACACACACACACACACATATATATATATATATATATATATATATATATATATATATATATATATATATATATATACATATATGTTTGTATGCATGTTTAGATATGTATGTATATGTGTACTTGTGCACACACAACAAACACACACACACACACACACACACACACACACACACACACACACACACACACACACACACACACACACACACACACACACACATATATAGATAGATAGATAGGTAGGTAGATATATATGATATATGAATATATATATATATATATATATATTTATATATATATATACATATATATGTGTGTGTGTGTGTGTGTGTGTGTGTGTGTGTGTGTGTGTGTGTGTGTGTGTGTGTGTGTGTGTGTGTGTGTGAAAGTATATACATAAATAAACTCATATATATGTATATAGTTGATTATATACATTTATATGTAAACACATGTTTATATACACACACACACTATATATATATATATATATATATATATATATATATATATACATATATATATGGGTGTGTGTGTGTGTGTGTGTGTGTGTGTGTGTGTGTGTGTGTGTGGTGTGTGTGTGTGTTGTGTGTGTGTGTGTGTGTATTGAAAATCATGTTACAGCTCTTGGTTTTATCCTATATCCTATCGAAAATTAAAATGGAAAGCAGTGAAGCAAATTAAATGCCTACAGTTATGATAACGGGCATCGGCAGCTGTTGCCACTTATCCGTCTGTTAATGTCAAAGTTGCAGTCACGAGGGCAGTAGAAGCCATGTTTAAAGTTATCTTCATTAGATCGACGAATGTTTACGATCTCCTCACAATAGTCTTCCACATGGAATATCATTACTGACTTCGCATGACCAACCATACAAAATTATGAATACTTAATGTGAATCAAACTACATACTAACAAACACAACCCCCCAATATGAGGTTTCGGCAGAATATATAATCAACCTAGTTAGGATCAAACGTGATGGAAGTTTATTGGGGAGTAAATGTAGGCGATCTGCGTGTTTTGTTGGGTCCTGTCGTGAGCATCGCGTGTTTGTAGAATAAAACTTTCCACAAGTAACCCAGTCTGAATGCAGCCGACTCAGTGAGTACAAAACCCGTTCAGCATACAATGCCTAGCACAAAACTGCAGCATCATACGAAGAAAGTTAGCATATATAGGCCATTGTACGAATAATGGAAACAGGCAAGAATGAAAAAAGTTTGTTATGGAATAAAAGAAAAAAAATGAAAATAAATTTAAGAATGCATCCTTGACACAGAAGCTCACCGGTTATCTTCCACAACAAAAGGAAAATGCCCAAAAGTTAGCCGATGTTTCATTCGATAATATCCCGCAGTGGTTTCTCCGAATGTTTTCTTGCTGCTTCATTGCTTTTACAATGATACGTATATTTCCGCATACTCATGCTTTTGTTTGTATTTTTTACCTTCAGTACATGGTATATTACAAGAATATAATCGTACAACATTATTAACGAGCATCAATTTTGTATCAGTTTTATATACTGTATAGAAAAAGTATTCTAACGATGATTTCTCGATTTATTATTTTGAGCGCTTGACTTGACGCTTCAGTGCTGGATGCCTCGCAGGTCGGATGGGTACGGCGCTTGGTTAGGTATGACGTCACACAGATGGCTGGAGGCTATTTGTTATTCTAAATGGGCATTTCATGAAAGCTGTGTTTGATTTACACATTCCGTGTTGATGATGGGATAATTATGTAGAACATACATTTCTATATTGACAGATTGTTCAATAACAAATTCCTTAGCTGTAGTACGATTAGTGCGCAATATGCTTGTGTATTGTGTGCTTTCACATTGTCCATATATGATAAAGTGAGAAAGAGGGTGAAAATTCAGGACGTTTTTTTAGATGTAACAAGCAGTTTCTATGTGAAATTCTCATATTTTATCGGATTATCCTCGAAATCGCAACTGACTTGTGACCTCGTTTAGGCCTCCTCAAGGAACCCCTCCTCCCCCAAAAAGGGGTAACCCAGGATGATAAAAAATAATCATATTGCGGTCATGGTAGATATTTGCTTTTTCAAAATACAATACTTAACATTAATGCCAAAGATGAGCTTCACGCTGTAAATAGAGAACGCCAAATTGAAACCTAGTAAAGATGAGAAAAAAGTTTTCTCGAACCAAAAGAAAATCCCAAACACCGGATAATCAAATGACAATAAAAGGAGTCAATTCCCTAAATATAAGGGATTAAAACCTTCTATTGCTCCCTTAATCGCCGTTCATTTGTTTATGTGTGAAGAGCATTGTGGGTCTCCCTAACAGCTGATCTGGGTGCTCTCGCAGCCAAGCCGGAGTTGCTGTAGAAAGTTGGTCGTGAACGAACGGTGAGTGGCACTCGTCACTTCTTTTTCGGTTTATTGCCTTATCACTGGCTTTTTTGTGTGCTTCTTTCACTGTTGATGAAGCGTAAGGGAGAGTATCGTCCGTGCGTGTAACGGAAGAGAGAAATGCGTGTGTATTTCCGGAGGTGTGAGAGAAAAAACAGGAATTTTACTATCGGGTCTCGGTGAAAGTAGTGTTTTCGGAATAACTGGTTTGTTTGTGGCACGGGACATTGACCCGACGAGCCTTTTGAGGGGGGTGGGCAACGGAACTGAATTAAGCAAGGTCACGAGGTCTGTGATTTTGAGTTCATTAGTCGTGGGAGTTTAAGTAAGTTTTTCTTGAGTGAATTCAAAATATTTCTGGCAGAGGTCGCGCATTTATATTTAGGATAAAATGTATTTTTTCTTTCGTTATTAAATCGCACATGAAAAAAATAATTTTTGTCTTATTAAATTCTACACGAAGCAGTCAAATCGTTAAACTAGTATTCTTATAGAATTCAACCGAGGTAATTATAAGATAGTTGATTATTTATTGCTCGTATTATCCATGAGAATTTTATAATTGACTGAGGACCTAGCTCCTTGTATGAAAATGGTTGAATAACAAAATAACTCCTGTATAGATGAATGTAGCATTAACAGAGTGAAGCACTTAAAGGCTATGCCTGTACATTTCTTGTAAGTGCTGTAGGATATGATTGTTTTTCACTCTTATTATTTACGGTTAATCTGTACGGTATGCACACACTAAGCTAGGGCAGATTGAGAGATGATATTCTTGAAGAGGACTAAAAGTTGTAGTTGTTGGTACATGAAATAACCTGGAGACACGATGGGTAATGCCACAAATAAAAGAAAAAGATTGTGGAAAGTGCTGCTTGGAGCCTAAGTCCACACAGTGCTTGTGAGTTGCAACTCTATCTTACTGTGCATACCGAGGTGAACACAATGTCTCCCGGGGGTTGTGTTGAGGAGAAAAAGCCCCAAAGCCCCCCCCCATCAAATCTCTCCAAACACCCAGTCACGACAACCTATATTGTTAAATAAATTTTGTGATGGAGTTGGGACTCTAGCGAGTGAGTTAGTACTGTAGAGAATTACCATATTTACACTTCCTTGGTATGGGCTTAGACTAGGTTTGAGAATACTCTTCTTATTTATTCAGTTAATTCTAGGCTTTTCAGGTATTTCAAGTTATATGGGTTTTAAATTGAGGCCCCTTAAAAAATTTGATGGTCAGTTTGTTTTGTTAGGCTTAGTACACTAGAGCCAGGATTTGTTTACAAACCAATGCAAGCCTGTAAAGTACAGATAGATAGGCCTTCTTAACAAATTGAGTGGAAGAGTTGTAGTTAGCATCTATGATTTAAAGGGAGATAAAATATTGTTTGGAAGCAACACAACAGTTCTCAACAATAATTGCTGGTAAATGCATCTCACAGCATAAGTAATTTGTGTGTAATAACTAAGCCAAAATTCAAAAGGTTATGCAGAGAGTTTAGTGAACCTATAGTTACACTTACTACAGGAATGAGATAATGAATGGAGACCTTATCAGCAAAGTATATGATGCAACTTACTGTACTCATGTTCGTATCTTTTCTCACTGATTAGTTTTCTTCTGTAAAGGTTTATGAAAGATATATTAGTTATCTATATATGTATATAATTTATGTATGGAGTTTATATATGTGCTTACGGCTGTAGATATATATGTGTTGTATATATGTAATTGTGGTAGGTGTTCTGGGATCAGTCTTATGTTTAGAACTAGAATGATTTCCCAATGGCTGAAAGCTAGGGTGCTGTTGCAATTGTAGAATGTGCAGTAAACTATCTCTCACTTGTGCTTCTTGGAAATCACATTTTTCTTTTTAAAAGAATAGTGTAAGAAAGTATCAAAAGAAAGTTCTTTAGATATATTTGATTTACACACACAGGTCTGCCTGCATATTAAGATTGGCAAATTAGATACTAGACTTACATATGTCTTGTGGGCATATTGTCTTTGCATAACAGTGGTAATCTTTTTACTGTACAATTTTCCTTTCTTTTTTATGTGTGGCTAGATAATTTGAGCTCTCAAATCTGTTTGAAAAGTTAACCTATATAATTTTGTAGGGCATTGAGTGTGCATATTAACTGGGTTTGCTGTTCCCATGTTGTTATGAAGAGGATTGTATGAAACTAACATACATCTGAGCTATTGTAGTAGTAACAAGTGTAGTGGAGTTGTATTGAGCTGCAGTCGACTGAAGTACAGTGATAAGAAAGGGGTCTTCCCAGCTGTGGTATTGTTTTTTATCAGTTGCCTGAATTCTTTTATTTAAGTTATCATACTTACAATGACTAGCATTTTGCTTTTGTTTTGTCTTGTTTTTCATCATTTCATCTTTCCATCTGAAGTTATCGTTAAAATAATATCATTATTTTGGTAATGTTTTTGAGGATTCTGATGTTTTACAATTTATACTATATGAAAATTGATATTGGTATATATGTAGAAAACAACCACACTCCCACAACTGGCTCAAGTGTGCTTTTGTGCCTCTTAAGGGCTTTAGCAAACCTCTGCTATCATTATTCTAGTAAGATAAGTTTTGTAATCCTCCAAATAATTTATTGTAAAAGAAGCAGTCCAGGCTATTGCATCACTACAAATTCGCCATAAAGGTTTGTTGGCCTTCGCTTGTTACATTCGCCACACATCCATATGACCATGCTGTTGTGGCGACACTTAATTTTCGTTAATCAATCAATTAATCAATTCACAACATCATGGCACTTCAAAATGGAATAGGATAGAACAGAGTCTATTTAAATATAAGGTAAGTATTGAAATCTGCTGAGGATGTCTCCTGATACTGTAAATATAAACTCTTTACACCAAATATGAATTTTTGAGTGGGGTATAGTGAACCAGTTTGCCTGGAAAATAAGTGAATTTTATATAGGGATAAGTCAAAATAAGGAATAGGGAACATTAACAGCAATACTAATTATTTTTACTCTTCATTTAGTCATTTCAACCTTCATAATCATTCATCATTCTCTCTCTCTCTCTCTCTCTCTCTCTTCTCTCTCTCTCTCTCTCTCTCTCTCTCTCTCTCTCTTCTCTCTCTCTCTCTCTCTCTCTCTCTCTCTCTCTCTCTCTCTCTCTCTCTCTCCCCCTTCTCTCTCTCCCTCTCTCCCTCTCTCCCTCTCCCCTCTCTCCCTCCTCCTCCCTCCCTCTCCCTCCCTCCCCCCTTCCTTCCTCTCCTCCCTCTCCCACTCTCACTCCTCTCCCCCCTTTCCAACTTTAATTGGTTAGATACACATGCCCATCACACAGCCTACACCCATGTCCAGACATAATAGACTGTATGTCAATGGTTTCTTAATCTGCTCACACCAAGGATCACACATCTCCTTGAAGTGGTGTGAGCTGCATCACCCAATCAGTCCTGCCTGTCCTTGGGAGTTCTATGTGCTAGTCCTGGATTTCCAGACTTAATCTTTGTAGGGAAAGTAAGTGTAAGGAATGTTGTTTTGGTGGTGGCCTTGTCCTTGGGGTTCTGGACCTGTGTCAGGTGCTCTGCTGTCTGTCCATAATGGACTCTTGGTTGTTTTTGTTTTTTTGTTCTTTCTTTCTTCTTTATTTCCTCCTCCTCTCTCCTCCTCCCCATCTTCTTTTTTTTTTCTATCATCTTCTGATGGAGAGAGAGAGGAGAGGGAGAGGAGAGGGAGAGGGAGAGGAGAAGAGGGAGAGAGGAGGGAGAGAGAGAGGGAGAGAGAGAGAGAGAGAGAGGGAGGAGGTTACATGTGGTTAGTCTAATGCAGTGATTATAGGAAGGGCAGTAATAACTTGTCTTTTTCTTGAGAACTTCTTTGGTTGAAATTGAATTTAAGTGTATAGTGCATGACTTTAATGCACTGCTAGTATTATCTTGCTTCAGAAAAAAATCATGATATGGACAAAACTAATTGAAACATATTATTTTTTACTCCAGCGCTTTATACCCACAGTGGACATAAGTTCACTATCCTCTTTACAAAGTCAAGTCAAAAGTTCTGTGACGGGAATAAGAGAATGCAACTAAATGAAAAAGAATGAAAAATGCATGATTATTTTTATACTTGTTTAGCTTTAGTCAATGTTTGTATCAAGAAGTACTTTGTATTTGGTACGTGCATGTGACTACGGTTTGGCCTTGGTAACTAGTCAAGGAAGGGTTTGTTTGCCTATGTATGTGATGGTCATAGAGTTCATTAGTCATGCAAGTATTATATTCGTCTAATTTTGAGTCGGTGGAAGTGCTTACTATGAGTACTTTGGGAATTAATTTACATATTGCAAACTTTGTTACTCAGTCATGATCTGTTTGCAGCTTCACTGCAGGTTGGTTATCCAAATGATTGATTTGTTATGATATTCTTTTACACTCCTGTCCTTTTCCTTTTCTTTTTTTTCTTTCTCCCCTTTCCTCACCCTTCCTCTCCCTACTCTTTCTCTCTCTCTCTTTCTCTTTCTCCCCTTTCCTCTCCCTACTCTCTTTCTCTCTTCCTTTCTCTTTCTCTCTTCCTTTCTCTTTCTCTCTTCCTTTCTCTCTCTCTTCCTTTCCCTTTCTCTTTCTCTTTCTTTTCTTCCTTTCTCTCTTCCTTTCCCTCTTTCTTTCTCTTTCTCTTTCTTTCTCTATCTCTTTCTTTCTCTATCTCTTTCTTTCTCTATCTTTTTTTTCTTTCTTTTCTCTATCTCTCTCTTTCTCTTCTTTCTCTCTCTCTTTCTCTCTCTCTTCTCTCTCTTTCTCTCTCTCTTTCTCTCTCTCTTTCTCTCTCTCTTTCTCTCTCTCTTTCTCTCTCTCTTCTCTCTCTCTCTCTCTCTCTCTCTCTCTCTCTCTCTCTCTCTCTCTTCTCTCTCTCTCTCTCTCTCTCTCTCTCTCTCTCTCTCTCTCTCTCTCTCTTTCTCTCTCTTTTTCTTCTCTTTTTCTTTCTCTTTCTCTCCTCTCCCCTCTCCCCTT